GGGGGGGATGTCTCTGAAATGTCATTGACATCAAGAAATGTATATGTTATTCAAAACTTGAAAAAAAAAAATTCAAATTGAAATTCAAAACTTGAAATAAGAGAAGTTTATAGAGAAAAAGATCCTAAATCCTACATTTTAAGTTTCAACTTCAAAAACCAGATTTTTAAAACTGAAAAACCAGATACAATTATTTTTTATTCAATAATTAGGTAATAATTAATATTTAAAAAATTATATATATTTCTATTCTCTCTGAGAATCACCCACCCCACATTTTCCCCTAGATTTTCATGTCCATAATCAACCATCAACTTCACTCGCCACCCATTGCCTACAACTACCAACACCTATCCCAAATTCGTCCATCGCCTTCTACAAAAAATATGCCTTCGTTGAAAGATATACTACTTCGCTCTAACTCTGACTTTGACTCTCACCCACTCCTTTTTTAGCTATAAAATTTATCTCAAAAAACCAGTTCAATTTTCTCGTGATCTTTTCATTTATGAGATCCTCATAAGCTGTTGTAGATACAATAATTGTTTGTGTATGTTGAAGTGATTTAAAGGGTGGCTACACTGAAGGTGGTCCTTGTTAGTTTGAAGTAACAATTTATTTTGATTATTTCAGATATATTCAGTCTTTTGAAAATCTGTTGACTAGTCTATTTGATTTTTTAAGCTAAATTTGGTTTCTGGATTGGGGTGCAAGTGGTGGTGGCGTGCTGTGAATTTGAGGTGGTAGCAACGTTTTGGAGTGGTGGAGGTGGTGGTGGTGAGAGATTGTGAATTTGAGGTGAGGCGAGGCGAGGCAAGGCGATAGTAATGAGATGGACTTGACTTTTTTTTATAGATGATTGCAAAGATATCAAATGGAGCGAGCAAGCTAGCATTATCACTTGCGTACAGCTCTCATGACTAGCTCGCGAGGTGAAAAAAATTAAATTTTCAATTTAATTTAAAAATAAAAAATAACTTTGGGCAAGTCAAGCCAAAAAATTTTAAAATGAGCTGCATGTGTAGCTCGTGCGATGGGCTAAGGCTCGACTCATTAACCCACTAGATGAGAGGTTCATAAGTCCACCTGCCCATTATGTTTCGTTTGTCCAATAATCTGAATTAAGTCCCTACTGGTGCATGCTTTAGTCTAATACACTTGGGGAATGTAAGTTATCAGGGTAACATATTTTTGACACAGTCAAATCACACATTCTTCTAGGTACAAAATCCCTTGGGCATATCTTGAATAGAGGAATGGGGTGAATTCATCAATCTCAAACTAACATATTACTTCCTTTGTGTTTTAAGATTTTAACTTTTAAGTATCGTCGTCAAAGAAAAGTTACGATAATGAAAACTGTTGATTCGACCTCTATCAAAAATAATAATTGAATATCTACATATGCTATAATTCAAATTTTGATTTACAATATTAAAAGAAATATAATTGTGAATAATTTATTTATTTTGATTTTATTGTAATTTCAATAAAATTTACAACCTTAAACTAAACTACCACAATCCTACAACTTCGAGCATCCTAAAAAAGGTTCTGTATTATTCTTGATCAAAATCAAGCATGATCGAGTATGAAGTTCTTAGTCGATTGGATTGTCAAGTAACTCGATTAAGTAATCTTATTGTAGCAAGCCTAGCAGGATTAACTATAGTCTATAGTTTGAGATCCATGATAGATAACTACTCAGTAACATCAGCTATTGCAATACTGATAATGTATTCAATCTCCTCAGCAACCTCCTTCATAGAAGGCCTGTTTTGTCTGTGTTCGTTCAAGCATCGTACAGCCAGAAACGCCAAAGCCTTCATGCTCTGAAACCCCATGTTGCTTACTCCTTTCCTAGTCAACATTGGATCAACCACGTCCATTATCCTCTCCTCCTCCATCAATCTCTGCACATAAACGGCCAAGCTCATGTCATCCTCCTCTCTATTGAAATCAATAACTTTCTGAGATGTCAATAGCTCTAATAAAACTACCCCGAAGCTATAGACATCGCTCTTTTCTGTCAACTGGAAATTTCTAAAATACTCGGGATCAATGTATCCAATTGTACCCTGAGCACAAGTCGATATGTGACTCAAGTCTGCGTGGACCAATCGAGATAATCCGAAATCCGAAACCTTTGCATTCAGCTTTGAGTCGAGCAAAATGTTGCTGGATTTCACATCCCGATGATAGATTCGGGGAACTGCATCGAAGTGAAGATAAGCTAGACTCTCAGCAGTTTCATGGGCAATGCTGAGCCGACGAAGCCAAGAGAGAAATCCCTGCTTTTCACCTCTTAAATGATCGGACAGAGCTCCATTCTGAACGTATTCATAAACCAGTAATGGTTGTTCAAGCTCAACGCAGCAGCCAAGGAGGCGGACAAGGTTCTTGTGGCTAACTTGACAAAGTATTCGGATCTCGTTTAGAACTTGTTCAGTACCTTTGGTGTTACCCAGTTTTGCACATTTGACTGCCACAACTGTTCCATCTTCAAGAATTCCTTTGTAGACTTCACCAAAACCACCAACGCCAAGAAGATGATCTTTAGAGAATTGATTTGTTGCCTTCTTAATTTCTTTGCCAGTGAAAAGTTTTGCTGATTTTCCACCACCAGCATTAAGGATTTCTTCACGTTCTCGAGTAAGTCGTTCTTGCTCTTTCTTGATGCGCTGGTGCCGCATGTAGAATAAAAATCTAGTCAGCGCTGCTAAGAGTGCTACAGCAAGGCCTATAGTTAAACCTGCATCACTTACAACAATCAATTAATGATTGAAAGTTGTCTAGCAATCTCGTTAAATTATTGCACTGCTACAGTTGAGGAGAAACGCATTTGCTCGCTAACGTCAAATTTTGGCTAAAATGCCTGTTTAAGTTAAATAAATAAAATAAAACACGTAAAACTGACAATTAAAAAATATAAGAAACAAAAGAAAAATCAACTTATCCTACCAACCAATCTCACATAAGAGCATCTCTAATACAATCATGGATTACATTAAAAAAATTATGCCATACAAGCAAAATAGAATGTAGTTTACAAATTCTCTTCAATGCAAGTCGAAAGGGACTCAATGATGTGACATAGAAAAATAGATATCGTTTAGAGCTCTAACTAAATTCAGAAGTTCAATTACATCTACTAACTCAGCAAAATTTATATTTTGTGTACAAATTTAAATGTGATTTCGTTGTTATTTTAAGAAAATATACGACACGTAGATAGAAATCCATGGAATGTATTTGGAAATCAATTTTGAACTTGAGTGCCTCCTCAATAAAAATTTCATGTCATGTGGATTGAAAAACTTTATATCTAGTTTTTTGTCTAATACATTATTGTGATAGAGTCGCTATTAGTTTGCATTAGAAATGTATTTTTAAGTACTTTTATTTTGCTTATATGCCACGATTCTTGAAGTAGTACATTGTATGAAGATACTATTATGAGAGATTGGTTTGTCTTTTATTTTTGTTTATATATATATTTTTTATTTTTTCTTTCATTTTTATTTATTCATCAACTAAAAATAAGGGCATTTTTGTCTTTTTATGGAAAACTTTGACCTTTTTAAGAGTCAACTGAATGGAAACCATCCAAAATGACCAATCCTACCATTAAGTGGAAGGCCAAGGATGGTTGCGCAAAGATTTGAAGGATAAGGACCATTTGCACAACAATCTATAGGTTAGGGACCCTTTTCAACAATTCCCATAATTAAGTGTATGATTTCAATTAATTTAATAAAACAATAAACCAAAATATTAAATGGCCGTTCTAGATTTGATGGTCATGGAAGATAATTATCTGTGTTTAGTTGGATGATGAAAAGAAAAACACGGATTTCCAGTAGAATATAAAAGTCCAAGAACTAGAGACACATCAAATCATAATGAGGGATATTTAGAAGAGAAAATTATAAATAATTGGAAAGAGAAAATCAAGAGGATCTATGAAAATGTGCATAAGTTTCGGCTCGAATGTCGAATTATCGTCAGTTAGTACAATTCCGAAGCGTTTTTAAATTCTGTACATTTTTTTTATGACGTCCAACTTTTGATTTCAAATTTCGTTTTGTTTAGAGCTCTATTTTAACATTTTTTCTATTTTGAGTCAATTTAAGGATATTTTCGTCATTTTCACAGTATTTTAATTTTATTCAAGTTCGTTTAATAGTTTTTTAGTTTATTGATTTTTTTATAGAATTAGAATTTCATTTTGATTAGGAATTGTTTTGAGTCTATAAATACGCGTTAATGTTGTAAAAATAATTCATTCGATTCTTGATTAGTAAAATATTTTAGTTCTCTCATTTATTGGTGGATTTCAAATAGTTATTACGTCCGTTTAAACAAAATTCAAGCAAACACGTGTTACGAATAAGATACTTTTATTATTATTTAAGTTTCTACCCTGCATCAAATCAACAGATCCAAGTCCACAAAAATTATTCAAAGAAGAAACCACCTTTGACTTTAATTGCTTGTTCACGAATAGCAATACAAATGGTGGGAGCAAAGATAAGTAAACAAGAAATATCACCCAAAAATACAAAAATATATCAATACATGGCACAAATTATTAATAGGCTCTCCAAGTCTGTCTCCTTCATCGAACTAATCAAATCCGTTTGAATTAGCTGCAGATTCAGGGGAAATATCTCCTATGCTTACTTTTCTCGTGATTGTTGACATTGATTTTCTTTCATATTACCCTAGTCGTCGTTCTAATGTATTGACATTACAACGCAGAAAGATAAGTAAACAAGAAATATCACCAACAAAATACAAAATATATCAATTCATATTACCCATTTAACTTGATAACATAGTCATCTTTCTAACATATGCAAGAATAACATTATAAGACCACCAATTAAGGATTTCAATCTTATAACAAATCTCATTTATAGTCAACCAAACAAAAGAAAAATTAAAAGATGATTTATATGGTGGGGAAACCTCGTTCAAAGAATCTTCAAGCTAATAAAAAATCATAGCCATCTAATAATATGATTGACGAGGTACCTGTTATAAGGGCGATTCGATCTTTATACACTGCATATTGAATTTAACGGAGTTAATCAGAAGACATTTGCAAAACTAGAGTGAAAAAAGAAATCCCAAGAAAAGTTCTGTTCAAACAAGCTTAGTTTGTTAACGTAAACCATGGAAAAATTCGGAAATATATTGTGAATGGCAAAGTTGAGAGAACTCACCTTTAATACACTGTCCAACAACCGAGTCCCATTGCAACCCGGAGTTGCAAAAGCATCTTTTGATCGCATCATTCGAGTTCGGGTCGGGACTACAAGTGGACCCCGAATCGCAATCGCCTAGTTCCTCACAAGTGGGCTCTCTGGGCAAAAGCCACTCCAACTCCACTCCAGGCGCCGGCCATCTGCTCACCGGTAAACTGTAATCCAAATTCACGAAGCTCCGGTACGCCGAGCAAACATCCCCATTGAACCCTAACTTGTACCTAGTCACCGAGTCCCCCGTCTGCAACGCACAACATGCCTGCGTATCCACGCAGCCACTCCCGGCCGTGCCGTTGATGTACACGTGACAGAGGCTGTTGGAGGTGCAGTTTAAGGGGAACATCAAGACCTTGGTGGAGCAGTTGAGGTAGAAGACGGTGTTACTGCTGGTGATGTTGAAGGGGGCGGAGGAGTTGAGTTGGAAGCCGTGGGAGGTTGTGATGCAGGTGTTCGCGAGGAAAGGTGAGGGTTCAATGGTGAGGCGTTGATTGGAGGGGGAAATGGAAGAGATTGGGTAAGTGTTATTGAGGGAGTCAAAGAAAAGGGAGGTGGCGTTGCACCGGATTTTATACGACTGGTCACCGCAGTCTGGAGAGGTGCTAAGAGGATAGGGAACCGGGGTGGAGCCGCAACTGGGGCAACCCTTTAGGG